ACATGAGATCGACCAATAGCAAACAACAACCATCCAATCAATTCAAATTTATCTTGTTCAAGAAGCCATTTGACTCAGATATAGCCTACATCACCAGTGTTGAGGGTAACGCATTACAAGTTACTCGAGTTACGTAATCAGATTAGCTTTTTAAGTAACTAGTAAAGTAACGCATTACTTTTAAATTTACAACAAACAATCAGTTACTCTTTCAAATAAGTAATGCAAGTTACTTTGTTTTCCTATTTATTGACTGACCCATTTTGAGAGAAATTGTAAGTTCAGAGGCGTTGTGTGCGCTGTGTTTGAACATGATGCTTATTGTAGTTCTAAATTTGAGCATGCACTAATCTCACTTGCACAAAAACAGATTCAGTATTCCTCAGAATTAATCAAATCAGTGAAATGCAAAATCAGAATACTACACAAACCTCCAATAATTAAATATGTTAAATAAAACAGATATTTTTATGCATTTAATCTCACTTTATTGACCCATGTACTTGCTGCTGACCTTGATTATATATTTTGAATAAGTAATTATGTAATGACTTCTAAAAAAGTATGTTCTATATACCGTAGTATAAATGTGTAGCCTGGGAAAACCCAGACAACTTCCGGCAAATTTAGATTTGCTCTGAAAGTTAGTCTGGCAAAGAGCTCATTCAAGCCCATTTTCAATCCGCCGAAATCGCGGCACCAATCAGAAACGTTGGGGCGGGCTTTACACGATAACGACAGCGCTGGGATTTTGAAGCAGATTTTGTAGCCTACATTACAAAGATGGATGCCGCCGTCGAACATCACTCGTTCGAATCAGCTATCGCGTCTGTTTTAAGCGATTTGAACGTTTCCTTTTTGTTAAAAACCGAGCAAAGAACAACACTCGGGAGATGTTTCTCCGCCGCTCTGCATACGTCATCTCCTTCATCGCTCTGATTGGTTTTAGGTCTACCCGCGACGTCTGTTGGTGACGCCCCTCTGGAAATGATTTGTCTATGACGCTTTGCCAGACCATAACTCAGTTACAACTGAGAATGGTCTGGTTTTAACCAGGCTAATAAATGTGTGTAGTATGAATGTAATCTGGACCTACTACATTCGCCATGTTGTCATTATCACGTGACCTACCAGTATCAGTTGCGTCGCTTTACTTCCATTCATAAATCCTCTCCCGTGGGATAGTAAAGTGTCTATACACACTTTAGAATCTCGCCAGGAGAAGTAGGTCATCAGGGTACATTTTGTCTACTCTTTTAGGAGTACTGTGAATTCAGACACACTTCTTTCGTCACATACTGTTTCGTCACCTACTATATAGTAGGGAAGTATGCGATTTCGGATGCAGCCAATGTGTTCTCCTGCATTCTTCTGTAGACCAGAATAGCTGCACAGCTGAAAGGTTTGTTTGAGCTGTACCCGCTCTGTACAGGCATTAATTTGCATTTTCTTTGGCCTTTATATTTTAAATTTGGTGTGAATGGGCCTTTACATTTTATTACACTTTTTTTAATAAAAAAAACAAGCCCATCCCAGCTGAGAAAAAGTAACGCAACGCATTACTTTTCTTAAAAAGTAACTAAGTAACACAATTACTTACTATTTAAGGGTGGAACATGAGTAAATGGAGTAACGGGAGTAAATATTTAAGGGAGTAACGCGGGAGTGTATTGTAATGCATTACTTTTCAAAGTAACTTTTTTCTAATTTTTCAATTTCTCTGATTTTTCCAGGGTTTTCCATGACTGTGAATCTTGTACAATGTATCCTGTATATTCCAAAATAATGTAACAACTCCCTTACAAAAAAAAAGTACTGTAGTGGTGGTGGTACTATTTGGTTCTGTGATGGCATCACACCATGATGATAGAAGCCATGAAATGTACATGGTACTCCAATGTTCTTAAAAAATAAAATCATGATTAATCTATATAAATGATATGCATAAAGTTAAATAGGGTTTCTGATGTGAACGGAACAGAAATAAGCTCAAGCTTGACACATTTCACCCGTTCATTATTGTATTTGTGATTTATTGAAAGCTCGCTGCTTAACCCAAATACAGGCACCCCGTACTGGCGGTCAGTCTAATCACTGCACGGGGGTAGAGGAGATACACGGCTGGACAGAAAATCCCTAACAGCCGTCCTGGGAGAAAAAACACACGCAAACGCCTATAACCCCGGCCTTCTTCAAACCCTGAGACTAATACAGAGATTATAAACGCTGTAATGGTGAATGAAGCAATCAGGGTGTTTGTCAGGCTCTCTCCCCCCCTGTCTAAAGCCTGCAGGTTGGGAGTTCCAATCGGACTATACCACACAACCCGCAGCGGCACATAAACATTTTCACTCCGGCATTATCAGACATTAACCCGCACTGGAAGCCAATAATGATAGTGGGATGAGAGCAGATGCACTCTTTGACCCGGAACGTCACTGCGGTGTCGTTTTAATCGAGCGCATTGGTTTCATGGAGGTTTTTGAATGCGGGACAGGGGAGCTTGGCTCCCCGCTCATAGATGAGCTCGGCCGGCGGGTGCGCTCAGTGAGTGTCTGCAGCAGAATGAGGAAGACACGCCACGACTCCATTTTGGGTGGGACTAAGACAACAACAAAGCACGGCGAAGACACTCAACAAAATATATCTACACCCTAATCGACCGTCCAACGGAAAACAGGCTGTGAATTTTACGTGACACTTACTGAGAGACGATCCTGAATCCCCGCTTAAGCTTCGGGTGCGGATTTCCCGATAGTTTTGAGCATTTTTAGGAAAAGGTTGAAGTGGGTCTTCCCTCTGAATGGTAGCTGCAGAGATGGCTGCCTTGCATATATTAGCATAACCTACCTAGCAACAGACGTGCGGCCCCGGGCGACGATATGCACATTGTTATATATACATATATCGATGGCGTTTTTCTGGAACGATAGGGCTAAAGTAATATAGTTGTTGTGGTGGTTAAATTACGCGTCGTTGAATTTTGATATGTATAGATTGTTTTTCATTTCGAGATAATTGCTATTTCATGCTCGTACGGCGGTTTCCTTTCAGTACCAATGAGAATTTTCCGCCATTTCTCCCAACCAATGAAAAACAGAAAAACGTTTTCAAGTCCGTCCAATCAGAAAAAGAGAACGTGCCAGACGTACCAATGACATTTCAAGCGCGTCACACAAGCAACCACGTAATGGTTGTGTGTGCATGTTTTAGGCACATATACTGATATACACATACAAATGTATGTGTGTGTATTATATATATGTATAATGTATACATATATGTGTGTGTCTGTTTTCTATAGTCTCTAAAGGTGATGATACACATTGCAATTTTTTTTTTTTTTTAGCAATGTTGCTTGGCCACTTTCCCGTAATGCCGTTTAATTTCTATCTGGATACTTTAGATCGGCCGTGGACCCTGTCTCTCACCCACAGTCTGGTCTCACCTGGTTGCCCGTTGACTGCAACATTGCTCAAAAAGACACCTTTAGAGTTCATTTGAACATTTAAAATGCAGTTTTTGCGTGTTAAAAACTGAAATCGGTCTACTTTCATCAGATATAATAAGAACATTTCTTATATACTGTGGTACACAAAGCAGAATAAAGACAACACAATGACACATCCATGGAAGTAGTGAATTTATTGATGTTTCCCACCTGTAACCAAGACGCCATTTTCCACTGGATTCAATCATATTTTACTTCTAATATATGTACTTTGTATTATTTTCCCCTCACCCCTACGACCATTTCCACAATCAAGCAGGCAATGACAAGGTCCAAGATTGGAACCATTTAGGTGCATAGTGAAAGTCACATACAGAAATACTGTCACAGGAAGAGGGAAAAGAATAGAAAACAAAAGAAGAGAATAAACTAAAAAATATATCATAACATCATCTCATATAAGAACAATGCACACCACAGGATGTCCTTGATAAAAGCCATGATTGCAACATCAACTATACAGGCATACAAAGACATTGCTAAGAAGGGGGGAAGAGAGAGAGAAATAAATTGATTCAAATTTTTCCTTGCCTTCCATATTAGTGGACATGCAAAACATTTCTTTCGCCTGCCTTGGCCTCCAGCTGGGTAACTTTAGTGCATTTTTGCGCTTTATCGTGGTTTATGTCCTTGTGGGTCTAATATGCTATAAACAATACATATCATATTACAATTACAGATGACTCCGGTAACGGATCGACGCTCTCTTTGATTTAAGCAATGTGTGCAAAGTATCGCCACATGATAAAACTCCCCATGGCAGTTCTCATTTGGCAGCTATGAAATGAAAATGCAGTATAATTGTGATTAACATGAGCTGAATGCAACATTTTATCTGGCCAGATTTACTCTATAAAAGGGGAGTGTTGGAGTGTGTGGATGTAACGGCAGGACATTCTACTATTCTTCTAGTAGAATCCGAGTAAAGAGACATTTTAGTGTGATAAGGGAGACTGGAGGCCCCGAACCTTGTGGCCCTCTGTGCTTCAAACCAATGAGCAATGACCATCTCCAGGGGCCGCACCGTATAATGGTCCAATTATATGACACCATAACCAAGAGATAAAAACAAAAGACATGGTAATGTTATTGAAATCGGGCACCTCTACATTCACAATCAGCCAAAATATCTGGCAGGCTGTCACGCCATTCTGTTTGAACCATTCATCGTATCTTACACAGGTGATGGTATCAGATGTTTGGACCGCGATATCAGTCCTTTAATCTCAAAGTTTAAACCTGTAACCCAGCCAAGATTTAAGCTCTGGGAGAAAAAAAAAAATATGAATAAATTTACCATCTACTTTTTTTTCTTCTGTTTATGTAACATCATAACTATTCTTCTGTTTATGTGTTTTTAATAATTACAAAGTAAATGATTTAATGATTTTCTTCTCATATTTTCTGATTCACTATACATTTAAGTTGTTACAAATAACCTTCATATACAAGCAATCTATTTAAAAGAAGTATATCCGGCGGCCAGCGATGGTGTAGACAAACTGCTGTGTCTTTATATTGATTGTTTCAGCTTTGCTGTACCACTATAGACTAGATCTTTATAAAAATTAACATTTAAAACAACATTATAATACTCTCCAATTTTATTTACGGAAAATCAATTCCAAGCTAAATTCGCAGAGTCACGTTCTCCTGATTTAAAACCACTGATAAATTGCCTTTGAAAGAAAAAAAAACAAAAGTTACAAGAGCATAAAATTGCGCTCCATGGTACAACAGTAGCAGTATTAGTAGTAGTATTAATAAACCGTTGTTTTCTTTAAATGAACCAGAATATGCATTTCAAATGCATGAAATGATTTGAGAGCAGTTTTATATTGGTCAGTAGTATGTTCACCCCTCTCTTGCTCCACAGCCCCTATAATGGCTAAATCTGCATCTGCTCCAGATATTTGTAGGTGGGGTTTTCATAGCCATGGTTCTGCATCTTGCTCAGGTGACGTTCTTCTGGAGATAGCATAGGGTCAACCTGAAACACAAGAGGAAGATTGAACAGGTCACGACATCCATAAAAAAATAAAGACTATGAAATATACACCACTGTTCAAATGTTTTAGAAAAAATACAGTAAAAACTAATATTGTGAAATTATTATTACAATTCAAAATAACGGTTTTCTGTTTGAATACATTTCAAAATGTCATTTATTCCTGTGATGTCAAAGCTGAATTAGCATCATTACTCCAGTCTTCAGTGTCGTGTCACATGAGCTGATTTTGTGATCATGAAACATTTTTTCTAATTATCAATGTTGTAAACAGTTGCGCTGCTTAAAGTTGCAGTAAGCGATTTCTAAGGGTCTGTTTACACCTGGTCATATCATGCATTTTGACTGGATCGGATAGCTATGCAATGTTAAAACGGTTCCATTTACACTTGCCCACAAAACGGATATAAATCCGATCTTCGTTAAATTTGCATATAGCGCATGAACTGCAGTTCACGTCACCGAAAGCAACAGATATGAGCTGCATTTTATCATCAGCTAATTTCAATATCACAGACAGCGGCATCAGCACGGGTAAGATCATTTAGTCTCAATACCTTTAACCCTTTAGCTGTCACCCCCCTTTTTGAGCGTTGACGTGAAAATGCACTACCCAAACTTAAACGGTTGTAATTCATGAAGCCTTTGTACTAAAGACTTACGGTTGGTCTCTTTTAAAAGAAGACTCTTGGCTGATTATTGCTGAAGTGGAATAAATTAATAGAATTAAATTATTTAAAAGTTATTGAAGTTTAAGTTTATTGTTATGAAAATATAATAAAATATATATTTTTCTTTTATTAAAAATATATATAAATTAATATAGGTTTCAGCCTAAAAACGACAGAAAGTCAAAGCCATATATCTAACCAAGTTGTGTTCCAAATTTGAAGTTGATATCACAACCATTGAAGTTCCTATGAGATTTTGTTTAGGCGTAATACCAAAAATAGCCACCGGGTGCCATTGCATTCCATTGAATTTAATTGTATGCATTCTGCCATAACAAATTAATACATTTCTATCCAAATATCACTTCTGTCACTAAATATGGAACCTTGAGACTCAGACCTTTCTGACAATATGTGTTTTGTCAAGATTAGAACATTTTTGATAATAAATTATGAAAGATGATGCCCAAAAGGGGAGGGGTCTAATAAAAAAAACGTTTCTATGGTAATGCAACGTCCAATTTTAAAACGGTTTTCACAGGATGAATTCTGAGTTCGTAAGCTTTCAAATGATACCTAATTTATGATAACTACTAAAATATGCGATATAATAATAATAAAAAATTATATATATATATATATATATATTATACTTTTTAGAGGACTTTTTACTTTACTTTTTAAAATATAATTTTTCCTTTTTTATTGACAAATAATAGATTATGTTTTATTATGAACTTTTAGCATTAAAAACCAAAGTTTCACTTATTAAAAGTATGTGCGTCAACTTTTTGTGACAAAGGTCAGAAACTCCTGTTATGACGTCGATTTTTTGAGGCGCACTCTTGTCATAAATTCATATATTACTGTTCATACGTAATTTGTAAGAACAAAACAGCGCTGAAATATCTATTAAGGAGTCTTAGACCTTTCCAACGATATATAGTTTGTCATGACTAGATTAGGATTTAATAGTAATATAGTGAAGTCAATTTAGGTTGCCCGTATACGGGCAGGTGACAGTTAAGTTAATGAAGATGATTGTGTGTTGAGCGTCTGCGACTTTGTTTTATTTGCGGCTTGATGAATATTGAAAATTTTAACATTTTGGGAGTAGTACAATTTACATATGTGGTTTCAACAACCAGATGCATTTAGACTTGTCCAGTTTTAAGTGGAATGCATCTCAGACCAGACCACCTCCTGAAGTGGTTTGAGCGATCGGGTTTAAATCCGTTTTGAAAGCGTTTCGGAGGGCATTTACACCTGGTCTTTTCACAATCGGATAGCTATCCAATCAGAGAAAACGCATGAAGTGACCAGGTGTAAACAGGCCCTAAGAAATACTGTTGAGATTTAAAATCGACACCCAAAGAAACACACCCCTGACCCTCCCTTCATTGCTCCGCCCCCAAAATATTGAACACGCTATGCAACACAGGCATTGGCTAACAGCTGGCGCATCAGACAGCTTGTGCAAGTATGGATGAATCAGCTGTGATTCAACAGCATATCTTGGCTCTGTGAAACAGCAACAAAAAAAAAAACAATGTTACTGACATATCAAGCAGAGAAAGCATTTTCAGTCCTTCCGATATTAATGCGAGTCCCTTCTTCTTCCAATTAAATTCCTCCGACCTTTTCCTCTTTGGTAATATCTCAGCTATCTCTCTTTCTACAAAAGTCCCGCTTGCTCACTCATCATCATGAGTGGACACGTCCCTATTCATTTACACATGTATGAATAACACAATATTTTTTCAGCACACACAGAACAGACATCTAAGCAAATATCCACAAAATTGTTTGTTTAGAAGTTGATTTAAATTTTCAAAAGCGTTTCTCAGAAATCACTGCACCTTTGATATTTTTTACTTTAATGACTAGAAAGTTCAAAAGAACAGCATTTATTTGAAACAGAAATCTTTTTGTAACAGTATAAATGTCTTTACTGTCACTTTTACTCAATTTAATGCATCCTTGCTGAATATTGATTTTTTTTATATATATATATATATATATATATATATTGATCCCAAATCTTTCAATGGGAGTGTATATTCATTAAAATGTGTATATAATGTATGTATATAAAAGATAAAATAACTAAATGTTCTTTGAACCTGCTTGTCCTTGAGTGCTTTGAGTGAGAGCATTATCTTTCACAGGGATCGAGAGAATATCTCTAGCCTTTTTGTAGTTATCCTCAAGGTTGCATTGAAAACAACAAGAGTGAAGGACGGAGCGTCATGTGTGACCGTTAGCTCACCTCCACAATGCCGTGACTGATGGTGCCGTACTGCCTCTTCCTCAGCAGCACCAGACTGATCACAATCACCGTCGCTATGGCCACCGCAATCACCAGCAGGCCAATCAGAGCGCTGCTTCCGAAGCTGAACTCATCCACCAGGGGGCGGAACGTCTCCTTCTCCGATCCACGACTGAACTGCGAGGGAAAAACAAACACCAGCGTATTTACACTCCCAAAGCACAAAGAGCTACGACAAACATGGCTAAAGACCTTTCAATGCTGCAGCAGGGGACTCGTACTGTAACTTGTGTACAGTAATACAGTAACAACAATACAGCTGCCATTCTGAATTTGTTGCATTTTCGATCACAAAACAGCCATCTTAAAGCATCAGTTCCCCCCAAAATGAAAATTCTCATCATTCACTCACCCTCATGTCATCCCAAACCTGTAGGACTTTCTTTCTTCTGCTGAACACAAACAGAGATGTTTTGAAACATGTTCATGCTGCTCTTTTCCAACATTCTCTCTGTGTGTTCCACCAAAGAAAGTCATACAGGTTTGAAAACGACATGAGGGTGAGTGAATGATGACAGAAGTTTCATTTTTCATTGAACTATCCCTTTAACCCTATAAAGCCTAATGTATAATATTTGATATACAAATTTCGAAGGTCTCTAAATTATCAACATGATCAAAACTTCACTGAAAAACCTGTTTAAACATGAGTATCAAATATGATACATCAGGCTTGCGAGGAACACTTATTTGTTCATCTCTCGATCATTATTGTATTTTTTGCGCCCCAGCCAACATTACCGTAAATATCATCTTACTAAAACATTATTGGGAGATAGTAACAACTGATATTTATATGAATTGTATGTAAATAGTCCGTTATACAATTATAAAGATCTCAATTTACATTACAAGCTATTCAAATTTCATCTTTTTTTTTGGTCATAAATATCAGCAACTGCAAATTACATTTTTGCTCAGTTTGGGGTTATAGTCCTCCTTGAGTATGAGCTTCATATTCTCACTATATAATACTATAGGAGACATAAAAGCCTGATGTATCGAATACAATACTCAATAAAAAAGCATATGCAAACTGTGTGTTGAATAAATTCTTCCATTTAAAAAAGAAAACAACTTATTTCATGTCACATTTTCAAGATCGAAATTGAGCTTATGGCATGAATGAATGTGTTGGTAGTATTGATCTGCTTCACAAAGTGAAAAACCGAATGTGCACAGACAGCCAATGACAGCCGTGACTGGCAGTTTTCACACACAAATGTTTAGTGCTCAATTCCATTTGTGCGAGAACCTAATGATGGCGAATGACGCGTATCGCCCGGACATGCTCATGCGTCTCGCATTAAAAACATGCACACGTGCTGTGGAGGATTGTGACAAACGATGTAAAACTGTCATTTGCTCACAGGTCGAAGTGAAGCAGCCTACTGTAATCCCCCACCAACCCATTTACAGCCCATATGAGACTGCAGCGTTTGACAGTACCATGTATTGGGCACAGGAGGGCGCTGTACTTACCAGAGGATCAAGACCCTTCAAAATCACTTCTTTAACATCCAGAGTCTCATCAATCACCTGTCAACACAGACAGGGTAGTCTCAGTTACTTTCTTGTGAACTGAAGATTGAGTCAGTGTGTGAGATGTGCAGTGTCTGTTAGATTACTGAAAGAATCAAGATTGAGGGGGACCAAATGTTAAAGTTCAAAAATTGGTCATTGAAAAATGCTAAATGAGCGACACCTATCCTGTATATTAAAGTGGCGTGTCCCCTCAATGTCTGTCATGGTTTTGGTGCTGTTTACAGCAATAGATGGGTATTAAATACTGTGAGCAAATCCAAAATAATTCATGAGCTTTGATACAGTGACTATGTCCTTGTTTGAAGACATGGCCGGTTGCATTTAATGAAGGAAAAACAAGCATTTTCATCTTGGTATTGTGCTATCAAACACAAAAGCACCTACACGTGTACTGAAAAACATTAAATAAAAGGGCTAATCAGAGCATATTTAAAGAGATAGTCACCCAAAATGTACATAATTCTGTGAAACATAAAAAAAAATATATTTTGAAGAATGTTGGAAACCGAGCAGTTTTGGTTCCCATTGGTTTCCATTCTATTTTTTGTTCATACAAAGGAAGTCTTTGGGAACTGAAACTGTTTGGTTACCAACATTCTTCAAGATGTGATAAGACATGATGAGAGAATTTTCATTTTTGGGCGGACTATGCCTTTTATGTAGCTTAGATTCTCATAACCCTCTGACAGCACCTCTGTGTGATTTCACAAAGACTCGTGCAGAAATATTGTACAAGCAAAACAAGGCGAACATATGAGTCACATTCTTCAGAGAGATCATGCATTGCAAGTCTCCAGCTCAGCCCTTCACAACCACACGGGCTCTTGTGTGAGCTGTGAACAGAGGAGACTGGAATGTGACTGGGAAATATGTGAATGTGGCATGCAATGAATGAGATAAAAATGAAATAAACCAGACTTCTGGAAAGAGAAACCAGAGCAGTGATTGCAAGGCAGCAAGTGAAGTGCTAAAGTTTAAGGGAAGATTAGATGTCAGGCATTGGTTCAGTGGAGGCTATAGATTTTTAAAATAGACCCCAATTACAATTCAGTTTGCAAATAAATGCAAGAAAGGAGTCCAATCGGAATTCAACATGCAAACCATATGATGAGAACCATTGAATGGCTAACAGATTAAGTCAATTAGATATGTTTAAATTTTGATGATAAATATAATGTTACAAAAAAAAAGTTTTTTAAAAGGGTCAGCAGAAAATTTCAGAGAATGTCAACATTCACTGCATTTGACATTATTACCATCTCAGTTTACTTTGATAGCCATTGTTTTTAAAAGTACAAAACTTTTAGCTGCTCACTGCAGGTGGTACCGTCTTGTAAAGCTGCTTTGAAACCATATTTATTATAAAAAAGGAGGCAAGAAATATGTTTTAAATGTATATAAAATCTTTAAATTTAAATCTAACATTAATAATGGGTAAAACAAAAGATAATCTGTCAACACGATACAGAGAAAATAGTTTCTAGAATTTTATTTAATTTTTTAGTAAAATGACAATATAATAAAATCCATTTATTTAATTCTGCTAACAACGTAGTCTTCATTATATAACTTTTGTTTTTACAACGTATAAATGCCTTTATATTTTAAAAGGGGGCGATCATCATATTTGGGGGTCCTTGGCATAAAAACATTTGAAAATTCCAAAACAATGTGGAGAAAGAAAACAAAAGCTATGTGAATCCAGTGCTGCCTTGCAAGCGCTGTAAAGACAAATAAATTATAAGACCATAAATAAGACCATAGTTATGCACTATAAATAATTAGACTTGCAGAGCAAACTGTCTGTATTATTTAGCTGTTCATCTAGGTGTATCATGAAGGCATTTCTATATTTTACCATTAGCACTTAAACTGAATGTTTATAATAGTGCTAAATTGTTATTTCTTTGTTAGTTTATGTAATGACATGAGAGTTGGCACAGTGTACACCACAGAGCAGTAAAGCGTGTGTGTGTGTGTGTGACGCTCGAGGCAGGCTGGTGGTCTCACCACATTTTCGTTGATCTTGCTCTTGCTGTTGATGACTTTTTCCTCTGCTCCAATCAGACCATCCAGACTGTTCATGCCAGAGCCTGCAGAGGGAACAGCCAACCAGAGTCAGGAAGAACAGTTGGAAACTTGCATTTCTGCATTAAATCAAACTAAAATGTTTACAAACATCTCTGTGATCAACAGTAGCTGCCATTAAGACCATAACTTCAATTTTTAGCCGATTCATGGCCAGAAACCTGCTGCCTTGCCAATTTGTTTTCCAGCGCAGTCAGTCAGGGGGCGGCACACCAACACACTCATTCATTAGTCATGCACTTATTACAGCGTATGATGTAGAAGCTCCCACTGAACCCAGAGTCCTCCTGGATCAGCCCAGACAAGCTCAGTGTAAACATTCAGCTCACAGTAAGAGGTGTGATCTACTGTGGTCAAAAGGTCTCTTCCTGGAAGAATTAGTGCCTTGAGACATCCCGTGAGCACTTGTTTCCAGTAACAGCTCTATAAATGGACAGATTCACCCTACATATTAAACAATTAAAGTCAACATGAACCTGCATTCATAACCCATTTTACTACCACAATGTGACATTTCTGAATGGAACAACCGACAGGATGGTCAAAAGTGGTCGTTCAATACCAGAACCAGGAAATAGGCCTTTTAAACTTCTACCTGCTGGGAACGGGCATGGCTAATGGTCAAGTTCACACTGATGTTTTCAAAAAGTTAACACTTCTTTTCAATATTAAAAGTTGACAATATTCTTTTAAACTATATTATTTTCGTAATGACTCTTTTAAAAAGCATGCTAAAGCGTACTTCTCTTTTATAAGGGACATATGATTAGATATATATTAATTTAAAACATTAAATAGCATTTTCTCTGTTGTAACACAATAGTGGAAAACATTCTAAGTCAATGCTGGAAGCTTCTAAAGACACCTGGCTAAAATGAGTCCTGGTTGCATAATACCACGTCGGAGAAATCTCATTGGTTGAGAGGAGAACAATACCTTTCGCCCACACTCATTGTTTGACTGTCAAAGCAGCAGGTCACCACCACTAAAAGATTAACTATGTTCAGCGGCAGTCTGGAGAGAAGCGCTTGCAGCCTTACCATGCACGACTGAACCACAAAATACATATACACACACCACTGGCAAAACTTAACACATGGAGGTGAATGTGTGTAACTAAGACAATTAGACTTCACAAGTGAAATGAGACAACAAAAACAAAAAGACCAATCAGAGATGGACATTTTCAGAAAGAAAATGTGGGTAGTGCTTGCCTGTGCTTACTCACCACCATGATGCTAGTGTGTTGTGGGTGGTTGTCAGGTGTTGCTAACCAGTTTCTAAGGCATTCTGGGTGATTTTTTAGCTAGCTCCTGGGGCCTAGTGATTGATAGCTAGCTCATGTAAAAGAGCCCATCCTCAGGTCCGTCTGCTAGCTACAATGTAAATAAGTTATGTAATTTAAATCATCCATCAGACGAAAACTGTCCGATCACCATTTCAAAAGTAAGAGCACACCACTCTTCAAAGAGCTGCATGATTTTAAGTATCATTAATAATGTCTTTAGTACAAGCGATATGATACAATTTATGCTCTAAAGCTTAATATTCATGGTTAGGGTGTTGTTTCAATTCCTAAACCCAAGTATAAGCAAAAGTAATAGTGCAATGCAAGCTTTGTAAGCATCACTAATAATCTAAGAGTAGCTTAAATGTGCATTCATATGAGGTGGGACCACAAGGTTAAATGGTAAACAGGTTTATGTTCCAATTGTACAATCTGGGAGCAAAAGCTAGCTGTGGGTCAGTTGAATAAGTGGCCCTGCAACGGAATTACTAAATTAACGAGCTCCTGTCATTAAAAGCGCAAGATAACAGGAGAGTGACGAGAGGATGCCCAGTAAGTAGCAAATGAGTCCTAAGGATCTGTCCACAGAGAGCTGGGTCTGAATCAGGTTATTTGTATTCCTGACACAGGCAGGTAGTGAGGCAGCCATAACTGCTTTAGCACCACACAGCACATTTACACTGGACTCGTTCTCAGATCCAAATAGCTAATTAGCTTAACAAGCTGCTTGGACTTTTCATTAGGCAAAGCTCTTCCGGCCAGACATTGAGAGATGGGATGTTTGGTCTCTCCATCTGAGGGAGTGACTGAGAGAGGAAATTAAGAACAAGATGGCTAACAGGGCTGAAGGGACAGACAGAGCAAAACCATGGGGTGGAAATACAGTAAAAAATATATATATATATGAGTATAGATGGGAGGATGATTCAAGATGTATGAAAGTAGGGCTGGGTAAAAATTCGGATTCATTTTCATTTGAACAATACGATATAGATTTGTAAAACCCCAAAATGACCTTAATTAATAATAATAATAACAACAATAATATCATTTTTATTATGTTTATAAATAATAATAATAATAATAATAATAACAATAATAGTGTTGTTATACAAAAAAAACGATAATAATATTTTTATAAAATAATAATAAAAAAGTATATAATAAATATATTTACTTCAAAAAAATAATATTAATCCAGGACATGGTCACAGAAGTATTTTTTACTTCTTTTTAAATTTAGCATGGAGTTTTAAAAAGTAATAATAGTTTTTAATATGCTCCTTAATCATAACATGGAGTCACAATGCACGTAATGTACTACAGCAGTCACGAAAAATGTGTCAAAACAGGCATGACATTACTGAAATATTCCAAACTGATCCAATATCAGATATGATATGACTCAATAAATATGATATGACTCAAAACATATGACTCAATACCCAGCAAAAAATATGCAAAAATAAATAAATAATAATAATAAAAAAAGAGCAAACACAACATTTAGGAGGCTGAAGAGGGGGAAAAAGAGAAACAGAGAAAAGCAGCAGAAACCCACCTTTCTTGAAGGCACGAGGCGGTTCAGAGAGATCGCCTAGGCATTGCATACAAGCAAAAGACAAAACAAGAAAAGATTGAAAGAGAAAAAGAGAAAGAAAAAAAAACAGGTGAGTAAAAGAGCGGTAAGTCAGGGTTATCAAGCTGTGTCTGCGGACGGAGAGGAAAATCCCGCAGGGACAGAATGAAAAAGAAAAACAAATCAAAGAACAGGTGAAAGAAAGAAACAGGGTGTGTTTCTGGACAGGCCTGTCATAATGAAAGCCCTTCTGGGCTCTAATGTGCTTATTATATTGCTCTTTTTGTATATTTCACCTTAATTTCACCCATTTTGCCCTTTCCTTAAAGGCTTGGCAGGGCAGTGAAAGAGCAGGACTGGGCGCTGAAAGAGAGAGATTTTCAAAGCACTTGGCTGCAGTGACGCCAGAGCCTCAGGCTTTATGATTTTAGCTGAACTTCAAATGTCGTTGTGTTTAAGGCGATGCCAGTGGGGATTCAGGCAAGCTTAGATAAGCAGAAACCTACAGCCCGAGTGCAATATTTGGACTTCGGGGTTTCATTCAGCATTTAGAAAACATTAACACGAATAGGCCTCATGCTGCCAGAGAGCTTCCCCAGACTGGCTTTGAGAGAGAAGCTACAAGCTAAGCTTTAGTACTGACTCAAAACAGACACTTTAAACAAGAGCCAGCCAGAGAAAAAGCCGTATCAGTAATGTGTGAACAAGGTACTGTTGGCTGAGCTTTTCCTGGAAAATTTCCAGGTCACATTTCACCCCAAAATAAAAATAAATGTTATTGTGAATGAAGAAAAATATATTTTTTAGAACCATTGAAATGCTTTGAATTGAAAATTATTACTTTTTTATTTTGGGGTGATGCATGACCCTAACAGATTTTTTTTTTTTTTCTCATATGCGATAACAGTATGAATAGCACAAACCACGTGGAATCTGATCTTTCCGATTCAGATTGGGCCACTTCCATATGTGGTCCAAAATTAGATACAGGTCTGATGTTTTGCAATGCGACCGCAGTCTGAACAGTCATATCAGAATTCATGCGACTTTTACTTCACTTTAGATTCTACAATGAAATGGTCAATGTAGTCCAATGTGAACAAAAAGTATTCTCGTCGCTTCATAACATTAAGGTTGAAACATTGTAGTCACATGGACTATTTCAACAATCTTTACTACCTTTCTGGGTCATGAAAATGGCAATTGCATTGCAGTCTAAATATTTTAATTTGTGTTCTGAAGATGAGCGAAGATCTTACAGGTTTGGAAAAACATGAGAGAGTAATTAATAACAGAAATTAATTAATTTTTGGATGAACAAACCCTTTAAATGCAAATACATCCAATGAATTTGGTTTACAGAATTTATCTCCTATCACATGATATAAATGAAACAAAAATAATGGTCAAATGAAACATTTGCATTTATTTGTTTCACTTAGCTAATAGCCTATATTTATATCTATATTTAGCCAACCATTTAGCCAACTAAGCTAGCATATCCTCGGGTTACTACAGGAAATCAAATTTTAATCGAATGCTCTCAGCGTTAGATATGGTTATAACAGTATAGTATCACAAATATGATATTTAATAGAGTAGAAATATGATATTCAATATGAGTTTCATATTCATTTTAAGTGCTATAACTGAATGCTATGGGGTTCAACCCTGCTGAAAACAACCTAAACTGGCTTGCTGGTCTCCCAGTTTGGTTCGGCACTTTTTTCAGATGTTCAAGCTGAAGCTGAATTCCAGTTAAAGACCAACTTGGACAGGCTGGGAGACCAGCTTAACCGGCTAATACCTATGAAAACTAGTTTCTGCCATAGAATAAAAAAATATATAATTGCAACCTTTCAATTCTGTGAGATATAAAGTCAGAATTGTGAGGGGGAAAAAGTCTGATTGAGAGTTTATTTCTCGCAATTCTTACTTTTTTCAATTAATTGTAAGACACAAACTCGCAATTGTGAGTTCATCTTAAATTGTGAGATAAAAAAAAGTGGTATGAAGTAAAAAGTCGCAATTACCTTGTTTATTTATTTTTTTGTTCCATGGCATAAACAAGGTTCAATTTAAAACCAGCATACCGACTGGGTTTAGCCGTTTTTGTCCTACAGGGAAGTGGGTAGTAGCGGCATGACACTGATGCAAAACCTCCCTCGGCAACAGTGCCACATGGACTACTTGCACTGAGCTTCATGACGCACTTGCGTTTTGAAATAGTACAACTCATTTATTTCCAGTTATGTATATTTTCAATGCGCTGTAGTCATCGAGTTGACTAAACGCCACTTAAACGAGTGTCCACAAGAATACTTAAAAATCTGGACATTTTCAGAGACAGGAGAAGAGATATTATAATGATTACTGTGTAAAGAGTTTTCTAAACTCAACGGAACATGAAGTTTTAATCCAACCCAAGCCATTCTGAGAAACCGCGATGCTGAAAGTGTTTGAGACCTGATGAATATGAACCCTTATTTATTTGTATTAAATATTTTAATCACTTGTGTGTAATTTTTCATAGTCAACCATTTCACTGTATGTAATTGACATGTTTATGCAGAACTTCTTAATATTCAAAGTAGTAGCATTGTTAACACTTTACTGTTTAATAGGGCTGCAACGATTAGTCGACGTTGTCGACAACGTCGACAATAAAAATTTGTCGACAAATATCTTTGTTGTCGAGTAGTCGTTTGATCTCACGTGACCTAATGGAAGGGCCTGCAATCCCGCGATTTGAACGCTACGGCGCTGTAGCGCTAGAGTGTAGTGCAGCCCTTACAAATGCTATTGCGGTAGAAGAGAAAACAGCGCGAATTATGACAGTGCAAACGAATCTGAACTAGCAAGGTTTAGGTTTGGGAAAGTTTCACAAAACTTCAAATCAAGAATGCTGTCGTGTGCAATGTTGGGGTGCAAGAGGAAACATCCCGGCAAAAGAGGAGCCGGTGAGAAGTGAGTGTTCTCCAGCTGGAGCTAACTAACCACCAGCGGCAAATCTCTCTTTATTAGAGAATGCAATACTACTAATAATAGTAATAATATTATCAATAGTAATATAATTACAGTAATGTGATGACTTATTTTGTATAGAATAAAGCTTGATCGAGCTTAGGAGTCAGGGCTGTTTTTATTATTGTAACACTATTAGTTTATTAGGTATTATTATAGTCTTATCACTTGCCTGTATTTTGTTCAATAATCATGAAGACTTACAAAACGAGATGTTATATCCTTCCTATGATATAGGAAGAATATCACGGCAGTCACTTTATCATACTATAAATTAAAAGGGAATGAGAACGTCTCTGTCAGCTCAATTGTCATGTAAAAAAAGATTGTAATTTTATAATTATAATAATTGTTTGCAGATTAATATTTTACCATTCTTTGTGTCCTGAAGTAAATGTCCCTTTTTCTGTTTCAGTTCTAAGAAAAGCAGTGGGCCTATTAAACAATGCTTAGAGAGCATTTGTGTGTGATTTGAGTTGGACCGAAATCTGAAAACTTAAAGAGAATGACCTGTTTAGTTGGCTCAAAGTTCATTAAAACAACTATTTCAAAAGCTGAAGTGATTTTCTTTTTTTATATTATAGTTAGAATATGTATAACTCAATGTTTTAACTAATTGGAAAAGCTGAATAATCGTTCCAAACTTACTGATTAGTCTGCGAAATAATCGACGATTAGTCGATTAATCGTTCTAATAATCGTTAGATTAATCGATTATCAAAATAATCGTTTGTTGCAGCCCTACTGTTTAAGATTAATTAAATATTTAACACGTTAAATTTACCGCAAATTTATTCACTTGACTATTTTACAAGACTGGAATAAGAGCACCAAATTACACAAACAATCCTTTTTATTGTCAAATTAATTTAAAAATGTAAATGCAAACTCAACAGAAATATGACCAGGAAGAGAAAAACACTGTTAATGAGAAGACGAGCAGTCGAGCACTAGACTGCTGCAGGTTAGTGGGGAAATTTTCTATTCAGAATGCACAGTTGGAAAGAAAACTATGAACATGATTCATTGTTTTAATAAATTGCCAGCCATAAAACGCAGTATTAATCTGCATTCTCATGCATGTAGGGGGCTGAATGGTGTTACTGGAAACTCCCGAGTTGTAATAAGTAGAAAGTGGAAGTAGTTGTGCAAGTAGTCCATTGAGAGACCATTGTGAGCCTCAAAGATTTGTCAGTGTAAATTTAGACAAGAAACTCACCCTCGGGTTCAGCGGGTGAGCCCAGAGAGTTGACCTGGAAGGGGCGGAAGGGCTTTCCTTCAAAGGCAGGAACCTCCACGCTCTCCTCAGAGGATACAGTGACATCAGGCTGAGACTCAGAGATGGAGGACAGGAACTGGTCCATATCGGCCTTCTGATCCTGTAGAAGTTCATCTTAATTGGTAGATACAGAGAGGAACATGGTTAAAACCAGCAAATCACAGGAGGGAAGAGATGGAGGAACGAATCTCAAAACCATGAAGCAGGCATGAAGCAGTCATAAACGCGATCAATTATCCATTACAAGGTTTCGTACTGCGCCATTTCCAGGCATCGGTAAAGATATTTTAAAAAAATGACCCTTTCTAGTACTTCTCTAAACTTGCAAAAACATTCTCCAGAGTCTGGCTTAAAAACTACACATCTTCACACACTAGTGGCAATCTCGAGGAGTCTTGACCCAGTTCTGTCAAACCCCACATACTAGTCTCATCTCTTCTACACAATGCCACTGCTCCTCTCGTAAAATGAATGAAAAAGAAAAAAATATGTTAAGTGCTGAGTCTCTGGGAAAAGCTTCCAACTGAAACAAACAACACGGCACAACAAACGCTTCAGAACACTCTAATTTACTTTGATTGCGGTGAGATGTGCTCAAGCTGAGCAATAAAAAGAGTTGCCAAATTACACGTGAGTGTGTGTGTGTGTGTGTGTGTGTGTGTGTGTGTGCGCGTGTATGAGAGATAATTACTGAAGCCAAGCTTTTCATACAGGTGTAATTATCTTGGCATCTGAGATACAGAGAGATTCTGCAGTTTTTTTAGGGGACTAAAAGCTCACATCAGGACAAAAGAACATAAAATAGACCCCAAATCTTTGTACACCTTTATCCATGTTAAATCATTGGCGCTTTAGAGTGTTCCGTTTCTTGGTTGTTGTGAAAGCCGTTTTCTGAGCTCATGTCCACACTAGAGAACCACATCAAGCGAGAGGTTTTGAAAAAGGGAGGTCTGGGTTTGGGTTCACATGAACTCCAGTACATTCAAATGTTATTCAGTCTATCTTGCAGGAATGGATGGTTATTGATTATGTAAAATCTGTCCGTTTCAGTAACATGCACTCATTGCTGCTTGTCGCCACAGAAACAGTACAGAACAAATCTCTATTTTCTCCATAAGGACACTGATTTTTAGCAAGAATGTACAAACCTTTTAAGTGATAATGTCATTGTCAAGAAAGACCTACCATGAGCTCCAAGATAGTTAAATGATATATGCTTCTGTTGAAGCCACAAGTTGAGATTGTGAGTTTAATCTTTAATAAACTATTTTTAATAAAAAAATTTAATGAAACGTATGCACAAATGACATGCATTTATAATAGAGACTGTTTAATTTCATGCTGACTTTAACAGTTAAAATACCAGTGAAGGACTACACTACCCATAATCTACCAAAGAGATCTACCAATCAGAGAAGCCGTTGTCACTATGGAAAAGAAAACTGAGGGTTCAGCAGCAACCAGACATTCCCATAAAGCAATTAATTATATAATAATCTAAACGCCGCGCCCAGCAGCAGGAGCGGGTTGGGGATGTTTGCTAACAGTATATCCCTGAAAAGGCAATTTCGAACTTTTTACCCCAAGCGAAGAATAAAAAAAGGACTTTGTTGTGAGTATATTTGGGCCTTGATGTAATAGAGTATCCTTAAACTCAAGTATTTTGCAATAATCTTCAGATCTTATACACAAATAGTTTTATATTGTACTGTAGTTTCTGATTACCTCATAAAAGAATTTAAATAGACAATTTACTTTGTCTTTTTTCCAATTTACACATGCTTCTTTTGTTTAAAATCAAAGTTTGCAATGTTGTGATTCATCTCAGAGTTGCACTGGAGTATTGCAAGCAAACATTTCACAATCTTGATTCCTTCCAGTAGATCTGTGGCAGACAGAAGCAGTGTATACTCAGTGTTCACTGTCAGTAGTAAAACCAAATGGACAAAAAAAATAAAAAGAGTAAAACATTAAAGCTGACACCTTCTTCCGAAGAACAGTTACCTAGGAACAGAAGAAATTACCTGCCACTAGTACTCACTCTTTCTCTTAAGTTCATGATGCAAATAAAATAATGTGACAAAAGGAAGTGGAATTAAGTTGTAGTTAAATTATCAAGTGTTAAAGAAGCGAATGATTTAAACATTGTAACATAAAAAAACGGCTCTTTAATTAACTCCACCTACAAATACCCTGAAAATTCACATTTTTAACACATTTCAATCATGAAGAGCATCCCTTTTTCTTCTCTCCAACAATAACCATCACACACCTAGTGAAAAAACCTATACCAAAATGTATTTAAAATGAATTGATTTCATACTAAGTATACTACAAATCATATCAGTTAACATATTTACTGACATATCCCTTGATATATATATATATAGATAGATAGATATAGATATAAATACTATAATTAAACTTTATTTGGAGTACTTCTTTATTGAACAATGCACAAATTACACACTTAATATTAAGCCTAAAATGTGTTTTAATATCACTATTAGTAAGAATAGTATGATCTCTGTATAATATCTTTAAATGCAAGATATTTAAAGTGTACCTAAAGTATACTTGCAATAGTTCCACTTTAGCACAATCAAATATACAAGTATATCTTTAGTTGGACCTCAGCACAATTTCTGGATAACTAAAGTGCATTAAGTACAAAATTTGTTGTTTCAATTTAACAGACTTTAAGTACACCAATTTAGTATACCAAAAGTACAATTGCAGGGTATTTATATTAAGTATTTATACCGTATATATATATATATATACCGTACTGTACATAAATATGTAGATGTATTTGTAGTATACTTAGCATAAAATGAATGCATTTCAAATACATATTCATTCCTTTTCTTTTGTGTGTTTGTAAGAAGTCCATTTCCACCGTTTTCAAAGCCACCACCCGGATCCAGATGTCCACACTTACCAATCTCATCCTGGATCTCCTCTGCGACGTATGGCACCTTGTAGAGCAGAGACAGGCTCTGGTTCATCCTCTCCTCAATCACCCGCAGGTGGGTCATCACCTAGGAAACACAGACACACACTTCTAAAACAGCGGTCGATTTACACAAGATGATATTTAGAAAAAGACTCCATTCCACAAGATGGAACAGGTCTGTGGTTGTGTTAAAGGGCATGTAGCGTTGGATGGAAGTAAATCAGAAAAACAAAAGCTTTGTGGCGATCTTAATGCGGAAATGGTGAGGAGAAGAAACTGTGTGCAGTAAAATGTCTGTGTATGAGCAACCACGCCTGTTCTTTTGTTGTCACTAAATTTGTTTGCAATGCTCAAAAACCAGCAACAGATGGCAATGAAGGGCTTATATATATATATATATATATATATATATATATATATATACACACACATACACACACACGTATATTGCTCTAAAATATCCTCGTAGACCCTCTAGGCGCCCGTCTGGACCTCAGAAAGTTCCTGCATACTGTATTTAGCTGTCGCACTGTTGGTTTAGGAAGTAAGAAGGTTTATGTTGGTCTGCCAGTCAAACCTGGACTTCAACTCATTTGAGAGGAGTTGCCAAAATAGACTATACTGCCATTTCTCAAACACACCGTTCTATAAATCACAGCCTATTTATAGTCACTTTTTTTTAATCACTGTTTTTTGCTCGAACGCTAAGTGCGTTTATAAAACCTACAAGGGATACTTCACCCAAAAATGTAAATTTTATTTTATATATTTAATTTTCTTATTATATTTACTTATCCTCATGTCATTCCAAACCTGTGTGTCTGTGGAGCACAAAAGTGGATATAAACATTTATACTGTTTCATACAATGAAAGCACAGGTTGCAAAAAAGGAACCTGTTCCAAAAAAAGGATTGTAAAAGTTCAGATTGATATTTTTAAAGTCATTATACATTATGAGGGTGAGTAAATGATCATTTGGTAATTTTCATTTGGGTGAATTATCTCATTAACTTCCATTCAATGAAAAAATCCTTTCAAGTTGAGCAGATTCAGAGCCTAAATTCATTATCAAGAAGATTCATAAATCTTCTTAAGGAAAATAAATAAGTTCGTACAAATGTTCTTAAGTGCATTTTTTTTCAAAGAAGAAAACTGACTTGATGGGAGATCAGCACTCAGAATCACGTTTTTTAGCATGCCATTTATTATAAATAGTTATTTTTCCTAGTATTAGTAATATATATCATATGTAGCTAGTGTTAGTTTGTAATGCTTAATATTTTAAACAACCCAATAAATTCATAAAACATAAATTAAGACTTAATAAAGACATAAGCAGGTTATTCTAACATTATGACCTGGTTTAACAGACAGGGCTTAGACTAAGCCAGGATTAGGCCTTAGTTCAATTAGGGCATCTAAGTAGCCTTTTTATAAACGTGACATTGACATTTTAAGATTAGATTTCAGTTAAAACAGCTCAAACATGCATTTTAGTCTGGAACTAGGCGTAAGCCTCATCTGTGAAACCGGAGGTAAGAGGTTATATTATAAAAACGAAATATTCTTAAATTAGAAAACAAGACGAAAATAGCAATTAAGAAGAATTTTCTTAAGAATGCTTTGTGAATCCACCTCAGACCTAGAGGTTTGCCTAATTAAATCTGAAATAAACAGGAACTGCTCTCAGTCAGTATACAAAAACACAAGATGTAAACTGTTGTGAATGTGGGTTTCATTTCCCATTATTCTCAGATCTGTGCACACCTCTGGATCTGTGCCACGTCCCGTCTCCCATGACAAACATCTGTGCTGACTGAGGCCAGTCTGGAATGCAATTTATAGAACCACGCCATTGGCTCAGACTCTGAAGTTACATCCAATCAAATCGCTAAGTGTGATGTTACACAAGAGCAGTGCAGTGCTAATCTCTCATATAATGTTCGAACAAGAGAATCCAGTCATGCTAACGGACAATCCTCTCAACCTGTACACCGTACAAAAAACACGTTCAGTTACCAAGCTTAAAGGGGAAGCGAGTTATTTCTGTGCCACTAGCAGCACCAATTAGAAAGAACAAATCATGAACATTTTCAAACACTTCTACTCTGCCATCTACTATAGTTTAAATTGGACAAAGGTGAGAAAAGATCAAATGAAGTATTGGATTTAGCAATAAAGGGAGGCAGCTGGGGCGGCACTGACTTGGGACTTCATCTGGGCGGCCTTCTCAGGGTCCACGGCCAGGACGTGCTGGTAATGGCGGATGGTGTGCTGACGATCTTTATTCTCTGCACGCATGTACCTCTTCAGAGCCTGCAGGATACGGTGGGGCTGCGGAGACAGAGAGTGAGGAGATAAATTGATCACAAAGGAGAGAAAATAAAAGGCAGGGTGAGTCAGGTGGACGTCTCTTTATGAGTTGGCTGATCCGTGAATCAGCACTAGGATCAAAGAGCCGCAAGACGGAGAAATAACAAGGGGATTAGAAGAGATGCTGAAACCACGCCTGCTTGTGTGAGTCCGACTCTGGCTCTCTTCGTGCAAATCATTTCAGGGGATTAAACATTACATAGGTGCCCAATTCAAATTAATATCTTAAGTAACTGAAGCCGCCCTCGCTGTTATGAGCTTTCAGCGGGATAATAGAGGACAGGTAATCTGCCACCATTAAATCACGCCGCCCGGGGGAAAGACAACCATCGCCCATTGGAGACTTAAGTATGAGAAGTGTAATCTGGTCATTATGAGATGAGAACAATCCTTCAAGGAAGCATTTATCTCTCAAAGTTCTTTAACTTACTCACAGAACTTGCAAAGACAAAGTGCTCATTGCATAATTTCACCAAAGCTCTCAGATTTCATCAAAAAGGCCTTCATTTGTTTTCCGAAGATGAACGGAAGTCTTACGGGTTTGGAATGACATAAAGGTGAGTAATTAATGAAAGAAATGTCCTTTTCACCTTTAATATCATTTGTAAAAGGAGCAAAAGGTCACGGTTTGTGGTCTCACCCTGGGTGGATCAGCCTGCAGGGCGGCTAGGTAGTTCTCCAGTGCAAGACGGCGCCGATCGTTCAGCATTGCCTCTACCCGGGCAAGGTGAGTCTCCACCAGCTGCTGTTTCTCACTGGCTGCCTCCTCCTCCAGGGACTCCACCATAGCCTGGAAGTGCTGCAGAGAGAATAATAAAAAAAACATAAATAAACAGTCACATCTTGTACGAGATGTCCTCTGGCATGGAAGCTGAGGTTTACCTGGATCAGTGTCTGTCTCTCAGCTTTGGGCAGGTTCCTGGCCTGGCTCTCGGCCTCCTCCCACTCCTTCCTCACCTGATGGGAGCAACACATACAAAGAACTTGGGGCTCTTGTGACACAAACAAGGGCTGGACCTCAAGGGCCAAACAGAAACAACTCTATAACAGTATGTCACATGGCAACTCTCTTATCTAAATGTAAATATGACCTCTCACTCACCCTCTCCATGCGGTTGCGGTGTCTGATCTCGAGTTGCTCCTTGGCCTTCTGGAAACGGCTGTGCTCTTTATCATCTGCTGGGGTCTCGAAGTACACATCCACATCATCTGTGGGTTGAGGAGTGGGCGGCACTGAGGAGAAGAAAGAGAGAGTTTGTAAATAGTGCGAATATAAGCCCTTTTCAAAACACATGCATTTTTAGGCATCACAGGTACACTGCAGAAACGTAGGTTGTTGCTCATACCTACAAAACGTAAGGCAGGAATGCATGATTACTTTGTGAAAATTGCAATCCTATAATGCATTGCGACAAGCTCAGTGAAAAGTTTCAGAGTTATGGGGAATTGTCTATTAAAATGTACTTATTCAGCGCTGAAAAGTTTAAAATTTTTGTGAGGCATGTATTGTGAGTTTATTGCCGTATGAAGCTGTTAGCTCAGCAACATCATACTTAATAGTACAACATTCCCATCCTTTTTATCCATAGGGAACTGATTTTGAACAATAACATAAATCTTTAAAGACAGACCTACTTGTGAGCTACGAGGTTGTTCATGTTATTACACGGCTCTGTGGAATACTTGATTCTGATTGGTCAATCGCGCCATCCAGCGGTGTGTTATTCCTCTATAACAACCGCTAAAGACAGGAGACATGCTCATCCGGGTTACGTTAGCGTTTTTTCTTCGTGGGAGTTTTGCGTTTGGTGAGCTAATAAAATATAAAAAACTCAGTCAAATCAATATTTAGTGTACATTTATTTAATTATGTCATCTGGTATCGCTCTCTCTCGTTTCATCCAAACGCAGCTGCTGCAATTTTGTGACTATTGTTTTGTACACCGTTTTAAAATCGTACCCGTTTGTTATCCAACAGTTTCATCTCAAATCAATATTTCTTATCCCCATAATTATGTGTTAATATCCCCATAATTATGTGGCGAAATGCTGTGTAATAAGTGGTATGACTGTATACCGTATCCCTTTAATATCCATCTAGTTTGAACTTGCTGCGCTAGCAACTGCTCTCTCCACGGAGGCTTTGCGTTTAAAGACCTAATAAAATATTATTTTGACTCAGATCAATATTTCGTGTCTACTTATTTACTTACGTGGTAAGTAGCCGTGTAATAAGCGGGATAATGTACATCCAGCCGGTTGTCATCTCAGAATAAAACATGACAGGGTGATCAGGAAACATCCACATCACTATGAAAGATGCTTTCTTTACCGTTTTCTCATCACTACTTGTGTTTATTTTTATTGAAAGGAAAGTGTGCAGCACATATTTACATATTCATCTATATGGGATGTTCGCTAACAGTACACCACTTCTCACGTATTTCGACGAGTTTCAACTTTTTACACCCATTTTTGAAATATTATTTCCTATTTATTTTATTTTAATTATCTGTGTCCTGTCACTGTCCTTCTGTTTGTACAGTGGAAGCTTCTGTCACCAAAACAAATTCCTCATATGTGCAAACATACCTGGCAATAAAGCTCTTTCTGATTCTAAAAGCGAAGAACGAAAAAGAACTTCGCCATGAGTATATCGGGGTCTTTAGGGAGCTAAAAGAGCTATAGAGACCAATTTTTTAAAACACATTTACAGACAGATCGACAGATCAACAGACAGGTCCAATGGAAGCAAAGGAGGAGCAGCCGACAAAAAGGAGACCACTAAGATCAAATCAGGGGAGAATAAGCTTCCCACAGAGAGCTATGACTCTGGAGATGGCTTTGTAATTCCCCTGATTCTGAGAGAACCAGACAGTCCTTCATTTCACATTCCTTTCATCCTGTCCTCTGAAAAGCGCTCTTCTGACAGAACTGCCCCCCCTTAGCATTTATCTTAAGAGTTACTGCACAACTCAGCACGCTATGATCAAGATAAAATCAGTTTTCCTTAGTATACAGATGACAAGGCCAACTTGACTTCCCATAAGGCTGTGCACAAAAGGCAACATCAGACATGCATATTGATTAGAACTAACAGTCTACAGCATCTATACTAATAAGAGGACAGGAGAAACCTTGAATCATGAAGGTTAACGTGATAAATAAATAAATCATTAAATCCATCAGTTCATGTTGCCACAAGAACACATGGATGATGGTTTCTAAAACACAAATAAAATACATTGGCAGATTAGTAATTAAAAAAAAGACAAAATGAAAGCAAAGGCGGCGTAAAAAGGGATGGGACACAGCACCGCACAAGCAGGAATAACAGGAAAAGAACATATTAGACTCAATTAGATCAGATTAACTCATTAACACATGGCCTCTGGTGATGTTTTGCTTTAACAAAATGAAACAAAAATATTAATCCTGAAAATTAATAATAATGATTATTATTATTAAATAATAATAAGTACATCATGTAAATTAATAAAAATAAATAATACTCAATAATTAAATACATTACTGTTGTTGTTATTACTACTACTATTATAGTTGTTGTTTTTAAAATGTTATTATTTTTCATTAAATACAAAGTAACTAAATAATAATAATAGTAAGAACAGTAATAATAATTATACCTTAATATTACATACAATAATACATCCATTAATAATAACAATCGTCAATCATTTTTTAAATGTGAAAAACAAATTGTCTGGCAAATAAATAATAAAATTAGTCGTTAATTAGCCTGCAAATTGTTCACGGTTGTAAAGCAACACAGAAAATTACATTGGTGTAAAATGTACAGTGAGCATTTATAATGACTGACTGCGGCTCATCCAATCAGAATTTTAAGTCTCAACATTCGTTTTCAAAGGCTGCAAATTCATTTTAAAGCAGGCTGTTTAGGTACACTAACATAGTGTTAGTATTGTGAGAGAAAGCAAGGAGAAGGAGCAGGGTGGAGCAGAAGGGGGCGGAGTCCTTGATGACGAGTGTGACTTACGCAAACGCTTGCACACGGCCATGCAGTACTCCTCCGAGTCGAAATTGTTGCGGTTGCCGGCACAGCCTCCGTAGATGAAGCGCACACACTTCCTCTGCTGTATGTCGAAGTGCCAGCGAGGCTTAGAGGCACGGCAGGGGCCGGTCTCCGCCTCCAGAGAACACACAGCTAACACAGGAGGGGAGGCGCAGTTAGAGCCTCCAGCCACCAGGGGCAGCAATCAGTAATGCCCTTGTACTATAGAGCGCAACAGGGGAACACCGTGATTTTGCCAAGACAGACATGTTCCTAGATAGATATTTTGTTGATCCTGGAGCAACATTCCTGTCTGAAAATTTAGTCCTAACCCTATCCCTAACCATAAACCTAACCGTACCGATAACTTCTGCCTAAAATCAGAGGGGTATGATGGGTGAATAACACTGATGTAGAAGCACCTAACCATGGTCCATCAACTGTAAACTTGTCCCTCAAATCTGATTGGTTGATTGGAACGTTGATCCAGTAACATGTTGGACTTGGTTAAATCACGTTCACCCACAATAGTGGCCACACACTTTTTCAGCGGCCTTGGGTCCAGACGCATTTTTCCTTTTTACTTTCTCCATAGATAAATATAACGATAACAACATTAGCCTCCATACCAAAGGACAATAACGTTTGACAATAGCTGTGATGTGGACTTTGCTTTCCTTAAATAACTAGAATGATTATAAAAACGTTATAGTTATATTTTTAAATATATATATATAAACTTGCGTGAACAGAAAATCAGTGAACTTCACTGTAAAATATTCAGTTGCATACAAATGTATAACAAGTTTGAGAGCGTAGGGAAATTCAATTGATTACATGTTTCATGACCAGTGGGCACTGCTGAGCCCTACGTTTCCATGGTAACAGCGACTTCTCTGATTGGTGCATTCATCTTTATCAGGATTCTGAGTAATGTCATTCTGGCTATAGCATGCAGATTAAAACAAAGTTTGTGTCTGACGTGTGGCTTTAACAGTGTAATATATCTTTACCTAATATTGCAAGCGTTATACATTATTGTTAAAAAATAATTCATTTCTTTATGGAGAAAACAAATAAGATTTTTTACTTCTGGAACCCGACTGTTGCGCTATATAGGGTGTACAGACAATGGCAAACAATAAAGGGTATACTTAAATTAAGATATAACTTCAAAAAAAATAAAATAGGTCAATAACTGTAAGCCTCTATAGTGAACAGGACCAGAGATATGCATCAAATGAGTTGCTGTAATTGGACGCATTATGGCAGTCAGGAAATAAATAAAGGAAACAGAGTGTTACTGACCTTCCACTTCCTGCAGAGTTTTGTCATCATCTTGGCTCTCTGGGACGACAGCTTTCTCTTTCTTCTCATCCTTTTCCTCACTGTCTCGGTCCTCCTCTTCATCCTCGTACACGTAGTGGTAGTCCTCCTCATCTCCGTCATCCTCCTGCTCCTCCTCCTCTTCAGCTGTGTCCTCCTGAGTGGGCGGCTCGTTGGCAACAGGCTCGCTAAAAACGAGATAAAAAGACACAATGAACATCATTAAGTGAACGTTAAATCTTTTTTGGCTTTTTAATTTCATTTAAATAGAAGCAGCACCCCAAACCACATCCTACTCATCATTTAAAGCTGCTGTCCGTAGCTTTTTTTGGGTTAAAAATTATCCAAAATACATATTTGATAAAATACATAACCAGCCAGTGTTCAAAACTATCTGCTTGCCTTAGCTCGATGCAAAACGGTAAGCTTGTAATAATGTTTTTAATTTTAGTGGTACTGGTGGATTTCCGCGAGAGATTCGAGCATGTCTTTGCGTCATTACGTCACATCTGTACACATAAAGAAGGAGTCTCGGCTAGTATAAGCTATATTGCGTGTGAGGATGTTGGAGGTAGAGATTTATAGCCTTTTCTCACAGCACTTGATATAATTAAACTTATCAATTTGATGGCGGATCCAGAAAGGTTCAAACGACGATCATCATCAGTGACAACTAGAGACTCACCCGCTGTAAAATGCAAAAGACTTTGTTCGGACTTCGGAGTGGCTACAGAAAAAAAGAGACTGCAACCGGACCCATGCGAAAACAAGGATAATATCGGAAGGACATTACATGATGTAGTCACGCAATGCTTGCTGACGTTGTTAACATGAACAATTTGAGAACATAGTATAGCTACTTTGCACGGTTTTGCGTGAAATGATAACTTATAAGCAATTGTTAGATTTAATCAGCGCGATTTACTGCAATGTCAGAACCAGAACAAAAGTGAATGTTTCTTACTAGTTCAGATGACATTTCCCGGTGAAAATTCTTATGTTGGTCATACTTCCAAAAAGAATAATCTGTAATTCTGAATGACAATATCCACACCGGCGCTGTGACTGACAGCTGCACACTCTCCTCAAACACTGTGTTCATCCGCGCTGTGCCGTGTCGAGGGTGTTGAACTACAACTCACGTAAAGTTGATAATTCCGCGAATGACTGCAATTGCAGATTTCGAACAGAGATGGCGACAAAGAGGAAAAATGCCGGACTGCAGCTTTAAAATAGTATAACTGCCAAAACACACTTTTAAATAAAGTAACTATATTGAAGCTCTTTAAACTGACAATGTGTTTTTATGAGCAACTTGAATATTTTTCACAATTTAGGCCGTGATCCACTGGAGAGTCATGCAGGTTTGGAAAGTAAATTACAGGGTTATTATTGTTAACTAAAACTTAAGCCATAAAAAAACACTTTCATTACTTGAAAAAAAAAAAGGATATTATCTATAAAAAAAAAAAAAAAAATTTTTTTTTTTTTATTAGACTAGTCAGTGTGGTGGAATTTTTAATAAAAAAAGATAGTAAACTGTCTTGAACTAATCATGAACTAATTATGTTTCTGACAATTTGACCTTTTGGTTATTGGTTTGGTTTAGTCTTATGATAAACTTTTACCTGACTTCCCCTTTGGTGCCAATATTGTGAATAAATTTTACCTGACTTCCCCTTTTTGATCTAACAATACAACAAAATAAATCTTACTTCCTTTTTAGATCTAACCTTCTGACAAACTTTTGACACAATGTAACCTTAGATAATGTGACCTTGGACGTACTGTTTCTTGTCTGTATTGTGTTATGATTAACTGAACCATTAACCCTTTACAATGTTATTCAAAGATATTCGAGATATTTTTGCTGATGTCACTAACAGGTGGTAAAGATGGGGGGGGGGTTAAAGATTCTGTTTGAGTGAGATTCTCTGAGAACTGCTCGAGAACTCCCGGCTGTAATAAAGAACATTTAAAGGACAATTACTCAAGTCTGTCTGTAAGTTAGAATTATCGGCTCTGGACGCTGTAGTCGACTGGAGACTCGCTGGAGTATAGTTAGGGAGCGGATGCTGTAGTCGACTGGAGACTCGCTGGAGTATAGTTAGGGAGCGGATGCTGTAGTCGACTGGAGACTCGCTGGAGTATAGTTAGGGAGCGGATGCTGTAGTCGACTGGAGACTCGCTGGAGTATAGTTAGGGAGCGGATGCTGTAGTCGACTGGAGACTCGCTGGAGTATAGTTAGGGAGCGGATGCTGTGGTCGACTGGAGACTCGCTGGAGTATAGTTAGGGAGCGGATGCTGTAGTCGACTGGAGACTCGCTGGAGAATAGTTAGGGAGCGGATGCTGTAGTCGACTGGAGACTCGCTGGAGTATAGTTAGGGAGCGGATGCTTTAGTCGACTGGAGACTCGCTGGAGAATAGTTAGGGAGCGGATGCTGTAGTCTACTGGAGACTCGCTGGGGTATAGTTAGGGAGCGGATGCTGTAGTTGACTGGAGACTCGCTGGAGTATAGTTAGGGAGCGGATGCTGTAGTCGACTGGAGACTCGCTGGAGTATAGTTAGGGAGCGGATGCTGTAGTCGACTGGAGACTCGCTGGAGTATAGTTAGGGAGCGGATGCTGTAGTCGACTGGAGACTCGCTGGAGTATAGTTAGGGAGCGGATGCTTTAGTCGACTGGAGACTCGCTGGAGAATAGTTAGGGAGCGGATGCTGTAGTCTACTAGAGACTCGCTGGAGTATAGTTAGGGAGCGGATGCTGTAGTCGACTGGAGACTCGCTGGAGAATAGTTAGGGAGCGGATGCTGTAGTCGACTAGAGACTCGCTGGAGTATAGTTAGGGAGCGGATGCTGTAGTCTACTAGAGACTCGCTGGAGTATAGTTAGGGAGCGGATGCTTTAGTCGACTGGAGACTCGCTGGAGAATAGTTAGGGAGCGGATGCTGTAGTCGACTGGAGACTCGCTGGAGTATAGTTAGGGAGCGGATGCTTTAGTCGACTGGAGACTCGCTGGAGAATAGTTAGGGAGCGGATGCTGTAGTCTACTGGAGACTCGCTGGAGTATAGTTAGGGAGCGGATGCTGTAGTCGACTGGAGACTCGCTGGAGTATAGTTAGGGAGCAGATGCTTTAGTCGACTGGAGACTCGCTGGAGTATAGTTAGGGAGCGGATGCTGTAGTCGACTGGAGACTCGCTGGAGTATAGTTAGGGAGCAGATGCTGTAGTCGACTGGAGACTCGCTGGAGTATAGTTAGGGAGCGGATGCTTTAGTCGACTGGAGACTCGCTGGAGAATAGTTAGGGAGCGGATGCTGTAGTCTACTGGAGACTCGCTGGAGTATAGTTAGGGAGCGGATGCTGTAGTCGACTGGAGACTCGCTGGAGTATAGTTAGGGAGCAGATGCTTTAGTCGACTGGAGACTCGCTGGAGTATAGTTAGGGAGCGGATGCTGTAGTCCACTGGAGACTCGCTGGAGTATAGTTAGGGAGCGGATGCTGTAGTCGACTGGAGACTCGCTGGAGTATAGTTAGGGAGCAGATGCTGCAGTCGACTGGAGACTCACTGGAGTATAGTTAGGGAGCGGATATAGTTAGGAAGCGGATGCTGTAGTCGACTGGAGACTCGCGTGAGTATAGTTAGGGAGCGGATGCTGTTGTCGACTGGAGACTCGCTGGAGTATAGTTAGGGAGCGGATGCTGTAGTCGACTGGAGACTCGCTGGAGTATAGTTAGGGAGCGGATGCTGTAGTCGACTGGAGACTCGCTGGAGTATAGTTAAGGAGCGGATGCTGTAGTCGACTGGAGACTCGCTGGAGTATAGTTAGGGAGTGGATGCTGTTGTCGACTGGAGACTCGCTGGAGTATAGTTAGGGAGCGGATGCTGTAGTCGACTGGAGACTCGCTGGAGTATAGTTAGGGAGCGGATGCTGTTGTCGACTGGAGACTCGCTGGAGTATATTTAGGGAGCGGATGCTGTAGTCGACTGGAGACTCGCTGGAGTATAGTTAGGGAGCGGATGCTGTAGTCGACTGGAGACTCGCTGGAGTATAGTTAGGGAGCGGATATAGTTAGGAAGCGGATGCTGTAGTCGACTGGAGACTCGCTGGAGTATAGTTAGGGAGCGGATATAGTTAGGAAGCGGATGCTGTAGTCGACTGGAGACTCGCTGGAGTATAGTTAGGGAGCAGATGCTGCAGTCGACTGGAGACTCGCTGGAGTATAGTTAGGGAGCGGATATAGTTAGGAAGCGGATGCTGTAGTCGACTGGAGACTCGCTGGAGTATAGTTAGGGAGCAGATGCTGTAGTTGACTGGAGACTCGCTGGAGTATAGTTAGGGAGCGAATGTTGTAGTCGACTGGAGACTCGCTGGAGTATAGTTAGGGAGCAGATGCTGTAGTCGACTGGAGACTCGCTGGAGTATAGTTAGGGAGCGGATGCTGTAGTCGACTGGAGACTCGCTGGAGTATAGTTAGGGAGCGGATGCTTTAGTCGACTGGAGACTCGCTGGAGTATAGTTAGGGAGCGGATGCTTTAGTCGACTGGAGACTCGCTGGAGAATAGTTAGGGAGCGGATGCTGTAGTCTACTGGAGACTCGCTGGAGTATAGTTAGGGAGCAGATGCTGTAGTCGACTGGAGACTCGCTGGAGTATAGTTAGGGAGCGGATGCTTTAGTCGACTGGAGACTCGCTGGAGAATAGTTAGGGAGCGGATGCTGTAGTCTACTGGAGACTCGCTGGAGTATAGTTAGGGAGCGGATGCTGTAGTCGACTGGAGACTCGCTGGAGTATAGTTAGGGAGCAGATGCTTTAGTCGACTGGAGACTCGCTGGAGTATAGTTAGGGAGCGGATGCTGTAGTCGACTGGAGACTCGCTGGAGTATAGTTAGGGAGCGGATGCTGTAGTCGACTGGAGACTCGCTGGAGTATAGTTAGGGAGCAGATGCTGCAGTCGACTGGAGGCTCACTGGAGTATAGTTAGGGAGCGGATATAGTTAGGAAGCGGATGCTGTAGTCGACTGGAGACTTGCTGGAGTATAGTTAGGGAGCGGATGCTGTTGTCGACTGGAGACTCGCTGGAGTATAGTTAGGGAGCGGATGCTGTAGTCGACTGGAGACTCGCTGGAGTATAGTTAGGGAGCGGATGCTGTAGTCGACTGGAGACTCGCTGGAGTATAGTTAGGGAGCGGATGCTGTAGTCGACTGGAGACTCGCTGGAGTATAGTTAGGGAGCGGATGCTGTTGTCGACTGGAGACTCGCTGGAGTATAGTTAGGGAGCGGATGCTGTAGTCGACTGGAGACTCGCTGGAGTATAGTTAGGGAGCGGATATAGTTAGGAAGCGGATGCTGTAGTCGACTGGAGACTCGCTTGAGTATAGTTAGGGAGCAGATGCTGTAGTTGACTGGAGACTCGCTGGAGTATAGTTAGGGAGCGAATGTTGTAGTCGACTGGAGACTCGCTGGAGTATAGTTAGGGAGCAGATGCTGTAGTCGACTGGAGACTCGCTGGAGTATAGTTAGGGAGCGGATGCTGTAGTCGACTGGAGACTCGCTGGAGTATAGTTAGGGAGCGGATGCTTTAGTCGACTGGAGACTCGCTGGAGTATAGTTAGGGAGCGGATGCTGTAGTCGACTGGAGACTCGCTGGAGTATAGTTAGGGAGCAGATGCTGTAGTCGACTGGAGACTCGCTGGAGTATAGTTAGGGAGCGGATGCTGTAGTCGACTGGAGACACGCTGGAGTATAGTTAGGGAGCGGATGCTTTAGTCGACTGGAGACTCGCTGGAGTATAGTTAGGGAGCGGATGCTGTAGTCGCCTGGAGACTCGCTGGAGTATAGTTAGGGAGCGGATGCTGTAGTCGACTGGAGACTCGCTGGAGTATAGTTAGGGAGCGGATGCTTTAGTCGACTGGAGACTCGCTGGAGTATAGTTAGGGAGCGGATGCTGTTGTCGACTGGAGACTCGCTGGAGTATAGTTAGGGAGCGGATGCTGTAGTCGACTGGAGACTCGCTGGAGTATAGTTAGGGAGCGGATGCTGTAGTCGACTGGAGACTCGCTGGAGTATAGTTAGGGAGCGGATATAGTTAGGAAGCGGATGCTGTAGTCGACTGGAGACTCACTTGAGTATAGTTAGGGAGCGGATATAGTTAGGAAGCGGATGCTGTAGTCGACTGGAGACTCGCTGGAGTATAGTTAGGGAGCAGATGCTGCAGTCGACTGGAGACTCGCTGGAGTATAGTTAGGGAGCAGATATAGTTAGGAAGCGGATGCTGTAGTCGACTGGAGACTCGCTGGAGTATAGTTAGGGAGCAAATGCTGTAGTTGACTGGAGACTCGCTGGAGTATAGTTAGGGAGCGAATGTTGTAGTCGACTGGAGACTCGCTGGAGTATAGTTAGGGAGCAGATGCTGTAGTCGACTGGAGACTCGCTGGAGTATAGTTAGGGAGCGGATGCTGTAGTCGACTGGAGACTCGCTGGAGTATAGTTAGGGAGCGGATGCTTTAGTCGACTGGAGACTCGCTGGAGTATAGTTAGGGAGCGGATGCTGTAGTCGACTGGAGACTCGCTGGAGTATAGTTAGGGAGCAGATGCTGTAGTCGACTGGAGACTCGCTGGAGTATAGTTAGGGAGCGGATGCTGTAGTCGACTGGAGACACGCTGGAGTATAGTTAGGGAGCGGATGCTTTAGTCGACTGGAGACTCGCTGGAGTATAGTTAGGGAGCGGATGCTGTAGTCGCCTGGAGACTCGCTGGAGTATAGTTAGGGAGCGGATGCTGTAGTCGACTGGAGACTCGCTGGAGTATAGTTAGGGAGCGGATGCTTTAGTCGACTGGAGACTCGCTGGAGTATAGTTAGGGAGCAGATGCTGTAGTCGACTGGAGACTCGCTGGAGTATAGTTAGGGAGCGGATGCTTTAGTCGACTGGAGACTCGCTGGAGTATAGTTAGGGAGCGGATGCTGTAGTCGACTGGAGACTCGCTGGAGTATAGTTAGGGAGCGGATGCTGTAGTCGACTGGAGACTCGCTGGAGTATAGTTAGGGAGCAGATGCTGTAGTCGACTGGAGACTCGCTGATGTGTGAACGTAGCTAACGTCAATTATATTCAGACACGTTAGCGTATAAGTTATACTAGTATAGTTAGTCTTAGGGAGCCAAATCTAAAATAGTTAGGTTTTAGAAGAAAATCCATGACATCAGCTAGTTGCCAAGAAAACATTTCTCATTTCCATTTAGTACTGAAAGTACTTAAACAACCAAAACTGTTAACACTTTACAATAAGGTCTCATTTAGTAACATTAATTAATGCTAGGGGTGTAACGGTACATGTATTCGTATTGAATCGTTTCGGTTCGAGGCTTCCGGTTCGGTACGCATACAAACCGAACGATTCATTGGACCATTTTTCTTGCCGACAAAATTCGCGCTGGCGCGATCACCACAAAGTTGCGCAACATCAAATGGCAAACGTAATGAAAGCGGAACGAAACTGCGCTACTCATTATATTGTGCTTCACGGATCGTTTGACCAGCAACATCTGTGCAGCGCGAGCCGATCTCGATCAAGCGACACTATTACAACACAGCGCTAAGAGATCCAGTAAAGAAAACATTTGAATTCGCCACTGAAGTAATAACATCGCTGCGAGATCTAGTGAGAAGCATTCACATTTCTCCGTTATTAACCGTAGATCTCTATTAGATCAAACAGCGCTGACGTGGAAACCAGGAGAAACATTGTGCCGTGAATGAACTAGTAATACTTTACGTCCACAGACCAGCAACATTCACCATGGATTTAATATAGTAGGCTAACACTAACTGTAACCAGTTTGGCTGGAATAGTGAACTGCTTTCAAGTACTTCACACATCTTTTTCCAGCTCTTCAAAACTCAAATAATATATAAATAAATATATATATATTTAAATGTTATTTTTAATGTGATGACCAAAACATTATTTGTTCATCCTTCAAATATGACCCCCATTTATAAACCTGAAAGTTTCAAGATGTAGGAAAACTCAGTTATTTAAAAATATTTTTTCTTTTAACAAATAAGAAATTTCTCTGGCATTTCTTTCTTTTTGCTGTATCGAAAACGTACCGAACCGTGACTTTAAAACCGAGGTACGTACCGAACCGTGATTTTTGTGTACCGTTACACCCCTAATTAATGCATTAACAAACATAAGTTAATAATGAGCAATACATTTTTACAGCATTTATTATCCTTTGTTAATGTTACTTAATAAAAAAGTACATGTTCATGTTAGTTCACAGAACATTAATGTTAACATACAACTTTTTCTTAACAACATGGTAGTAAATGTAGATATTAACACAAACTAAGACTAATAAATGCTGTAGAAGAATTGTTCATTTTTATTTCACCTTAACTAATGTAGTTACCTAATGTTAATAAATGAAACCTCATTGTAAAGTGTTAGCCTAAAACTAAATAAACTAAAAATATCTAGACATTTTTAATAATTAAATAAAAAATGTAAATAATACAAATGACAAAAACACAAAAAATTGCTAAATCTTTAAAATGAAAGCACCTCTATTATACGTAGAACTATCACGCAGTCAAATACAATAAAATACAAACGATTTGTTTAGGCGGTTCAGAGTCGATTCTTTCTTTTCGGAGACAATAACTTATCGTGCACTTTCGACAGTACACCTTTGCAGAACGTTTACATTCACAAACAGCTATATTACACACTGAAATATATTGAAATATTGATATATTGAAAATATAAAAATAAAATCCAATTCAAAACATTTACAAAAACTATAATAGTACATCAATGACAGTAAAATAACACTGGTAAATGATGAAAATTTTTATTTTTAGATTAACTATCCACAGAAAAATCTGGAAAAAAGTATGAGGAGGTGTGACGAGAGGGAAGGAGAACATGGGAAACAGAGGGAGGGGAGGAGAACAGGTTGGAAGTTTTATGATTTATGGAAGTGAATCAAACAGCTGTCAGAGGTCAAAGGCATGGCACTCGAAAATATCCAGATGGTCAACCTAATTTATCCTACACAAACGCACACACGGCGTATGCTCTCACACATACAATTTTTCAGCTACTACTTCTCAAATGATAAGACACGACAGGTCACAGTCATACTGATACATCATCCTTTGAAAGTGTGGCAGGGCCGTTTGCTCTGAGGCGCTCAGAGAGGCTGTGCCCATTTCAGAAATTTGGATAAGTAAATAATTGACAATAGAAAAATTATGTTTTGTGAATGAGCCGGTGTTTAACACCAATCTTAAATTGGACCTCCACGCCTGAGATTTTGTTTAATGATGATTTGTTGGCGCCGACATATAGCGCAGTTGCTCGGGCCACCCGAATTCGAGCAAAAATATTATAATTTTGTTTTCTTGTTGATAGTGCAAGGTAAATTGTGATAAATAAAAGGTAAATTAATATTCTTTAACTAAGAAACCACAAACTAACATTGGACTAAGAAACCAAACTCGAGAAGTTTGAGAAAGACCACATGCATGTCAACTAACACCACATTACCTCTCCTCTACTGCTTCATCATCTTCATCCTCTTCATCCTCCTCCTCAATGACAGGCTCCTCCACCTCCTCATTCTCATCATCTTCATCCTCATCATCAAGCTCTTTTGAGGGTGAAGCAGGAGGTACGGGCTCCTCGGGACGAGTAGACGGGCAGCAGACGTATTCAGTGCCGTGGAACTTATCGATGCCACAGGGAAGCAGCATGCCGTAGCTGTGCAGGACCATGCTTCCCTTAGAACAGGCCTAGAGAGAGAGAGACACACAGAGAGTCAAGAAATCCCATTCAATTAGAGCAAATGTGGTTTGAAAGGCCAGTCTGCTGTGTAAGAACAGCCCGAAGAAATTCAGCAGATCTGTTAAATGTCTGTCCTGGGATCAGTGGAGTCAGCGCACGGAGATGCTTCCAGAATGCACACACAGAGAATGAAAGACGGCAGCTTGGAGTGATTTACGGTACGAAAAGAACTGACCACGTACACACTGCAGCTAAATTTGGTTCTGTACACAGAGTTTACAGCATTCTGCATCCAAATTCATTCGCGAAGAAGATAGTGAAGACAATATCTATCTGCGATGGTCAAAAACTATAGTTTTCACAAGGAGTAGTAGGTATGATGGTAGAAATGTGTCGCCTGCTAGAGATTTTGCTATACAGTTTATAAGGTCTGTCTTTTATTATTTGCACGCGAGAACGACAAGATCCTCAAAGTGAAGCTGATGTCAGATTTATTCAGTTGTTATGAATCTTATCTTTTGGTTCCACCCATCAAAATAAATCAAAGTTAAAATGAAAAAATAATAAATAAAATGAGACGAAGTGTATTTCATTTGCAAAGTATTTATTCTCAAGATTATCCAAAAAAAAAAAAGGTATTACCAGATGACTTTTAAATATATAAACTATTTTTAAATTGAATTTCTAGGAAGAACGATGTACTGCTGTTTAAAAGTTTGGGGTCAGAAAGAAATCAGTTCTATTATTCAGCCAGAATGCATTAAATTTTTAAAATGTGCTAGTAAAGCATTTTTATTGTTACTAAAAACATCTATTTAAAATAAAAGCAAGCACAACTGTTTTCAACACTGACAATAATAAGAAATGTTTCTTGAGCATCAAATCAGCATATTAGAATAATTTCTGAAGGATCATGTGACACTGAAGACTGGAGTAATGATGCTGTAAATTCAGCTTAGCATCACAGGAATTATTTACATTTTTAAATATATTCAAATAGAAAATTATTTTAAATTGTAATATTTCACAATATAGTTGTTGTTACTGTATTTTTGATTAAATAAATGCAAGCTTGGTGAGCGAGACTTCTTTCAAAAATATTGAGAAATCTTTTGAACCCACATTTTTGATCAGTAGTGTATGTGTCTCAAAATGTTGTCTCATTATGCAAAGATTCTTCATTGATGTTTTTAACATTAACGACACATCAAAAACATCCACTTAGTGAACCAACGCAACCTGAGGATAGCAGGACTGACTCTTTTACCCCCCCTGCACACAAAGAATGATAAAGAATTCAAGCCCGCAAATGAATTGCAGTTGTCACTCCCAAAAACTGTGAAAATTCATGAGAAATTAGAAAAGACAGCAGATAGCAGGGAAACTGAAAAGACAGTTAATTATAAGAGAATGCAGAGCAACATACATCAGATGTGAGCAAGTGTAAAAAGACCAGTTGTGTGTGTGTGTGTGTGTGTGTGTGTGTGTGTGTGTGTGTGTGTGTGTGTGTGTGTGTGTGTGTGTGTGTGTGTGTGTGTGTGTGTGTGTGTGTGAGAGAGAGGTGGTAGAGGTCTAGAGATTATCAGTATTACAGCAGTACGGCTTATCCAGTTATCAGGGTGAAATGTGAGGACTCAAGCATGCAGCAGGAAAGACTGAGAGAGAATAAGAACGTGACACTCGAGTCTACAACTGAAAATCCATCAAATTTTAAACGAGCATTAGATGTAGAGGTAAATTGCAGTGGTTTGCAAAAGTTCTGTAAAAAATGTTCTTTATGGCCCTTTGATTTCAGCAATGTGGAAAACATGGATGGAATCTTGGAATCCAGTCATGAAAATGGAATTTACGGTATAACGTGGAATTTCAGTGAGGCGATTGTAACTTTGCTTTCAGCATTTCAATTTACCGAATTCCAATTTCAAACTGACGCGGCTCCTTCCGCGTCTTAAATATTTCTTACGTATGTCGAATCTCATTGGTCCCGAAGCTAACTTCAAAAACCTGTATATCAAATTTCAAACATGTTCATTGGCAACAATTCTGTTGCTTTGCATAGCATCTTCGTGTTTATCGTGGACCGACACATATCTTGTTGAGTACATGTATTATGTAATTAGTGGTGTATGTCTGTGGAGCTGGAAATGATGTCTTACCTCTTTGGCCACACCGTGCCATTGCTGATGACTCACGCACATGTCCATACGCTCCTTGTGGAAGAATTTACATTTCTCTGGCACCAGGAGGACATCACTCACGAATTCCCCAACTGAAAACATACAAACACGCAGCACGCAGATTATTAGCAAGGCTGAGGCTTTAACATCATGCAGCTGGTACAATGCAAACAGAAAACATCTAACACCCACTAACAAAACAGAATTGCAAATTCGGGACAGCAAATAACAACACAGCTCAATAATTCATCAACACATGGTCTTTTGCATTCTATAATGAGCATTTTACAACTAGGGCAAGTGACATCTGAACAGACATCTGGTCAGTAGCAAAAGACAGAATAAAGATCTGGCATGCACAGACCATCCCGTCCACAGCAGAGAGAGAGCAAATAGCAGCAGGAAGTCTCGCCGCGTTCTTTAAAGAGAACGGCGTAATTCTGGCTCATATCAAGTTTAACATTCCTGGGGAGTGTGAACACTGTGTTGCTTACAAACATTGCTCTGATTGTTCGAGCGATCTGATATATTAATACTGGCTCAACCAATGGTGGGAGTGACTACCTATTTCTCTGAACAGTGTCAGATTGGGGGTGCAGAAAAATTAGTGCTGGAAGTTTTAGTGGGAACTTTTTAATTGCGATTTTTCTATTAAAAACGGCTATTGAGATTTAAAATGTGACAAAAAATCCAGAGTTATCGGTGCTTATTTGTAGGGTTGCACAATTAAAACCATCAAACTTTTATTTTTATGGAAAACCACAGGGAGTCCTTAAATGTTCTCTTTTTTTGATAAGTGCTTCTCATTAAAGTATGGAAAGACGATTGGCGCATGTTGAGCTCCCAAACACACGTTAAAGCGACCCAAACTCGGCGCAGATGCAGAGATGGAGTTCATGTGTAGCAGCATTTACTGTGAACCGAGAAGCTCGGAGATGCTAAAGACACCAGATCATGAGCTGCTCACGTTAAATAGAATACAGTCCTGCGCTTCACTCTGAAACTCGCAGCGCATATATTTATTTAAAGCGGCACTATGCAGTTTTGGCAATTTCTTCACTGTACTCTTGCTTTTTGCTTGCAGTTTGCTCCCCCTACAGCTTCGGAATAGATATTTGACAACACTGTCGTAAAAACTCTCCCCCCTCCCATCTTCTACCTCTGCCCATGTGCATTTGTTTTCAAAGAAGCCGGCGAACGCATGGAGCCATGTCCACTGAGGTATGTATGATACACAGAAAGCTAGCATATAAATGTTGAGATAGTGTATATTTGTATTGTGTTATCAAACGTAATCCGTAACATTATGGTGAAAAACAAGAGACTAAGAAAATTTCCGCTTATTTGTGTTCATTTTTTTCTAGCTTAGCCTATCTCAATTATAGACTTAGATTAGGCAGTATCAAAATGAAACTTTACGTTGCATTCTTTTATAATGCTGACGGGGATCGGAGGTCGGAGTAGAGTTGTCCATCATAACAAAGATAAAAACTCCATCCCTACCTTGTTCTTATAGCTAGCCGGATCCTGGATGGGGGTGTGTATGTGTGCAGTGCCGTAAAGCAATTCGTTACATCGCGAGACCTGATATCAGGCTACACTTCCAGACTCTGAAGGGGGAAGCGAGACGGCCACCATTCAACCCGATAAAAGTCATATTACCATTCTAATGAATCCAAAGCTGTTCAGTTAAGCTAAAAAGAAAACTGCATAGTTCCCTTTTAATTAAATTGCAGCCTTTGTGATTTGATAAAATCGCACTAGGCCATATAACAATTTTGGTTTTATTTCAATGAACCGTGCAGCCCTAGTAGGAATGCACAGAAATGTTGGCCAGTGAAAGAGAAAATAGGCGAAAATCTTAGAATTGCTCATCATCTCAATTGAGTTTGTCAATATTACAATAATCAACACTGACACATGAGAAAACTACACTTAAAGTTTATTAGTTTACGGTCTTAGTTTTAATTTTTAAATGTAATTAACCTATATGTTATTGTATAAATCACATCAAATGAAGACAGTTAGTAAAATCACTTATGGCAAATCATACTGATAGTCCAAACAAAGGGTTTCGGTCCAGAAGGTCCTGAATTTTTTGATGCAAGATATTTTTCTATCTTATTTGTATTCTTTAGGATTGATTTTTGGGAGAACTGTGCCTTTAAGGAAATCAATCTCCACTAAACAAGAGTTAATGTATAAATGAAACAGGAAAGGGAGCGTGTGAGCAAGTGAGTGACAGCTGAGGAGCTCAGATGCCATCAGACAGGCCAGCATGGGATTGTGTGCCATATGCAGGAGAGTTATTACAGAGCTGATTTCAGGACAGCTGGGAGGCCAATCCAACCTCTGAGCCTGAACGACAGAGAGAGAGATTGAATCGTTTAATGACCAGAAGTCTGTTCACAATAGAAGAGGATTGTAACTGTCCACAAACTGCTCATTTAGCCTTTACCACAAAACAGGCCTAGGGCCAAATCAGCCTGAAACCAGAGAGCAGAGGAAATGCGGACAGGAGAGAAAGAAAAGGCCAGTGTTTTGGAAAATGAGAGGGTTTGGAGGAAAGAACTTGAAATAGAAGAGAACATAGTTGTTCAAACCAAAGCCTCTCCACACCGTAAATACAAACTCAAACGTGCAAAAAATCGTCCCATCGGTCTGAAGGGGCCGAATCGACTACAGTCCTTAACAGCATCTTATTCACATTAACCTAATTATCAAACTCTGCACTGCGTTTAAATACCTGCTCTTGCCATTGAGACCAGTAAAGGTTTGTTACAGATTCAAAACAACAAGCTGTCAATCATCACAGAACAAAACTTCCTTTCCAATGTCCCTTGCGCATAAGGTTTACTGGCTATAAGTGTAATGTCAGGAGTCTGTTAGAACAGATGAGGTAAATCACAGTAGTCTCGTGGTTATGTATTCTAAAGCGCACTTTATGCCTTGTCTAATAGGTTTCCATTGTAAGTGCATTACTGTAAACGATTTCTGCTCGTTTTTACAAGCTGAGGGGTGAGTCAAAAAAAAAATTGTGTGGCAATCGACAGCATGTCACAGATGCCGTCGATAAAGCTTAACTTGTATTGAACCCGGAGTGTTCACAACACAATCTGCTCTGCTGAAAAACAGTGTGGGTGATTCAGGAATAACATTATTTATTTTACAGCTGCAGTAGAAAAGCAGAAAATAAGTCCTGACAGCGTCGGTAGGGCTGCTCGACTGCAATAAACGAGGTATCGCATTGATATCATGTGAAGAGCGAGGCAGTGAGGCAGAGAAGTGCAGCATTCTGCCTCTACAACTACACAGATAAAACTACCAGAGAGGAAATGGGAAATACACATTTTTACAAAACACTTTGCAAAACAATAGACATCATACAATGATTAACATTTCAATGTTGTCACATGACATCATTTTTATGCATGTTTAGTTTAGCATCATTTAATTATTAAATAGCACAATGCTAATGTGCATTTCCAATTCCATTTTACGTCACACTTTATATTAGGTGTCTACTATGTACTTAGTAGTATAATAATGTAGGGCTGTAAAATCGATTAATTGCATCTAACAAAAGTTTGTTTATATAATATCTGTGTGTGTGTGTGTGTCTGTGTCTGTGTCTGTGTCTGTGTCTGTGTGTGTGTGTGTGTCTGTGTGTGTGTGTGTGTGTGTGTGTGTGTGTCTGTGTCTGTGTCTCTCTGTGTGTGTGTGTGTGTGTGTGTGTGTGTGTGTGTGTGTGTGTGTGTGTGTGTGTGTGTGTGTGTGTGTGTGTGTGAGTGTGAGAGTGTGTGTGTGTGTGTGTGTGTGTGTGTGTGTCTGTGTCTGTGTCTGTGTCTGTGTCTGTGTCTGTGTCTGTGTCTGTGTGTGTCTGTGTGTGTGTGTGTGTGTGTGTGTGTGTGTGTGTGTGTGTGTGTGTCTGTGTGTGTGTGTGTGTGTGTGTCTGTGTCTCTCTGTGTGTGTGTGTGTGTGTGTGTGTGTGTGTGTGTGTGTGTGTGAGTGTGAGTGTGAGTGTGAGAGTGTGTGTGTGTGTGTGTGTGTGTGTGTGTGTGTGTGTGTGTGTGTGTGTGTGTGTGTGTGTGTGTGTCTGTGTCTGTGTCTGTGTCTGTGTCTGTGTCTGTGTCTGTGTCTGTGTGTGTGTGTGTCTGTGTGTGTGTGTGTGTGTGTGTGTGTGTGTGTGTGTCTGTGTGTGTGTGTGTGTCTGTGTCTCTCTGTGTGTGTGTGTGTGTGTGTGTGTGTGTGTGTGTGTGTGTGTGTGTGTGTGTGTGTGTGTGTGTGTGTGTGTGTGTGTGTGAGTGTGAGTGTGAGAGTGTGTGTGTGTGTGTGTGTGTGTGTGTGTGTGTGTGTGTGTGTGTGTGTGTGTGTGTGTGTGTGTGTGTGTGTGTGTGTGTGTGTGTGTGTGTGTGTGTGTGTGTGTACACACATATATATATTTACTTTTATAACATAAAAGTAAATATATATAACATACTTTTATGTTAGATGTTTTATTGTTTTTTATAGCCCTAGCACAATGTACTTATTGAGTTAATGTATTGCAAAACACTTTTGCTGCTATTGATGTGGGATACGGGTAAGGTTAGGGACAGGTTTGGTGGTATGGGTAGGGTGTAAGGGAAGGGTCAACAGTGTAATTATAGATGTAAAGATAGTTTTACTACATATTATATTGCATATATTGTGCATGGTTTTTTTTTGCTGTAGACAACAATACATTTTAAAAACAATACTACACATTGTTGACCTCACTATGTTTGAGATTTCAGCAAGTTCCATCCATTTATTCCTGAAACAAACATGGTTATCTGGCATCGTTTAAAATCGTATAAATCTTTTGACTTTACTTTAAAACTTTTTGGCATTTTAAACAAATGTGTTAAGGAGGAGGACGGATAAAAACTGCTCTTTTCTATACTGCACATTTTGGCATATTCAAAAAATAATTATCCGTTTATGCTCCATGGACAAAATAACAGCATACTAGTTTGGAACAATGATGATGAACAACAAATGAATTTTCATTGTTGGATAAACAATTCCTATGAAAACATGATTTCATTTATTTGGGTCAGACACAAAAAAA